CGAAGGAGAAGCGTCCGGCCCTTCCTGCGCCGCGCTGTGGACTCCCGCGCGGCTGGGCCTCTGACCTCACAGGCGCACACAGCCCTCCAGCCCCGGGCCCTGGGATGCAATTATTTTGATTTTTAAAATGCATAAATTATACCTCAATTTTAAAAAAATGAGAAAAAGAGAAAGCACGTGAGATCTTTGCAGCTTTATGTTTTAGGAGTTGGAGCTTTTGTTCCATAGGTTGCTCATAACTTCCCAGGGAAGCAGAGGCTAGGCCAGCTCCTCCTCTCCTTTTGCCATTTGGGAAACGCTCCACCAAACCCAGGGTTCCCTCTGCGACATGGAAGCGGCTTCTGCATATCATCCCTCAGGTTTCTGGAACAGCGATGTGGGGCACGAAGTCGAGGACAAAAGCAGTGGTTTAATCCCCAGAGAGGCTCACCCCCTCAGTCCACTTCCTTCTGAGAGTGATCTCCAGTGACGGGCAATGGGGGCACTCCTTACTGTCCTGAGGCTCCTTCTGTTTGTTTTGGGGGTCTCAGTGTCTGTCCTTCTGTCTCCTCTCTCCTTCCTCACTGCAGTGCTGCTGGGGGTCCTTCTGGATAGTGGAGTAAGCTGTTAAGCTTTTGCAAACCCCTCCTCAGCCCACCTGCCCTCTGGGGGTGGAAGGATCCTATGCTGGTATGGGTTAGAATGCACAGGGAGGCATGGAAAGAGGATAATGGGTCTCCTGACTGGGCTGGGGCTGACCGACATCAGTGAGTCTGTCCTCCATGCCAGGCTCACTAACACTGATGAGTCCCAGAGCCACCAGGCCTCTTTCCTCAGCTGCTCCTGCCAGTGCCTGGGCTCCGTGTCCTGCTTAGCTGGCCCCATGGCCCCCACTCAGGTCTCCTGGGAACATGTGTGCAGATGTCTCATGTCAGGGCCTCTGGCTGGATGCTGAGCCCCAGCGTCAGGGTGCCTGGGCCCAGGAGGGCCTGTGGGGTCTGGTGACAGACCTTCCCTGCCCCGAGGCCTGTGGATGCACCAAACGACCAGAGGCTGCAATTAGAGAAGCTTTTCAAACTGAACTCCCGTTCTAAGATTTTCTCTGGGATCCTGGATGGTTGAACCTATGTCACTCATGCCAGGGCTAAAAAATTAAATAAAAATCTGAAAATTTGTAGAGGAAACTGTTAATCAAAAAATTGCTGGCTGGATAGGTGGAGGCAAATGGGGTGGGGGCTTAGAACTCTGCTCCTTTAGGGTAAGAGAGTGGAGCCTGTTTGCTTGAAGGTGTCCACCTTGCTCGCTATGAAGTCAGAAAGGGAGGCCGCCTCACCTCACAGCCAAAGACACCCTCGTGATCTGCAGTGTCTGGCCTTAGGGGCCAGTTGCAATGATGCTGACTGCCTCACCTGCACCTCCTCCTGCTGACACCTACCCATGTGATCCCAGGAGCCTGCGATGGAGTGGGGCACTCAGCTGTAGTGGGCGACTCCCAGAGAGCAGGTCAGGAGGATGGGCCTGGCTCCAGACTTGTCCAGACCAGCAGGCTACCTCTGCTCCCCTGTCTTGCTACTCAGTGGGAAGGATGAAGGCAAGATGCTCTTCTCCCCATTTTACAGGTGAGTAAACAGAGGCATGCAGGTACTTGCCCCAGACATCACCAAGGCCGGACTGTGTGGGGGTGGGTGGTGCAGGGTGTGGAGCAGAGAGTTCTTTTACCTTCCTCTGCACGCTTCTTTCACTAAGGTAGGCACCTGTGTCCTGTGGCCCCATGTCACAGGGGCAGCATACAGGACAGCGAAGATACAGGTTCAAAATGGTAGCAGCGTCCCTCTAAGCTGTGCCTTTCATAGGAATCAAACCCTGAGGTCCTGGCCTCAGAGGTGGTGGCCACAGGTGTCAGGGGAGGAGGAAGTGAGCCACTTGGTGTCTGGGTGGCAGGGGGTTTGCCTGAGCTTCCAAGATGCTGGAGGCCCAACCCCTTCTGACCACATCCCTGCCCTGGATCCCAGCTGTGTGCCCTTGTGTTGGACACTTCATCACTCAGCTTCATTTTCTTTTTGTATAAAATAATCTCCTACCCACTTAACAGTGTTTGAGGAGACTTAAGCAAGAAAATGGTGTGAAAGGATGCTTTATAAACTGTAAAGTACTGCATACATGCCAGTTCTTAATTTTCCTATTCTTTCTGGAGACTGATTTCTCTTAGCAAGCTTTTCTTCTGGGAGGTTAGCAGCTTCCTCTAGCTTCTCTCTCGCTTGTGGAAGCTTCCCTGGTCAACAGTCACTTGGCTAATTTTATTGTAAAAATAACATTTTTATTTTGTATTTGGTTCTGTGGCCCTGGTATTGTCTCCTGCTTGACTTCTTGGCATGTCCAGGGATCTGAGTCCAAGATATTTCGTGTCAAGGGCTTATTCGTTTGATGAACATTCGATAAAAATAAGCATGAATAAAAGACTAAAAATTGAAGTTAGATACCCCCCCGAAAGCTCAACTTAATTCCGTTTTGAAATGCATAAATGTTGTGGGAGATGTCGAGCTCTGTAGCAAACATAATTAATAATGATGCTGACAATAATGGAGCCCCCATTTTGTTTTACTTTACTTCAAGTCTGGTACCTCAGCCTTGTGGGGGGTGCCCAGAGGCCTTCTGAGGGCCCCCTGCAACCACAGAGCTGGTGGCCAGCTGCACGGCTGCCTCCAACAGGCCACTGACCTCACCAGCAACAGGGAGTCCAGGCCCGGCTCTGCGACCCGGGGCAGAGCCAGTCTCCTTGGGTGAAGGTGGTTCTCCAAAGTAGGGAAGCAGTGTGGCTCTTAGTGACTCAGAGCAGGTGACCTAACCTCAGTTTTCTTGGCTATAAAATGGGCTGACAGGTTCCCCCGAGGTGAGGAAAGATTGACTTTACTGCGAGCACCTCCTTGCTGGTGTCAGTGAAGTACGTTCCACATTTCATGTGAGTTGTCCAGTGTTGCCCAAACTTGACCTGAGGAGGGAACTGCTTGCCTTCCCGCTTCCTGTAACCAAAGATGTCGTCGGGCCCGCTCTACGCTGCCCCATCATTCTGTCCTCAGGGAACACGCAGACAAATCTGGTTTCTGTGAGTTTTCATCAGTGATTACATCAGAGGCAGGAGCACCCAGGACTGAGGAAGAGGAGCCAGCTGACACCCAAACCACGTGAAAGAGAAAAGCGCCACAGCACCGCTTCCTTCTTGAGCCCCACTAGTCCTTTCTGGCCCTGGGGGAACATCTTGTACACACGATATTGGTCTGAGGTAAATCAGATTTAGACCAGGCAGAAGCAGAGAAATAAGGACATAAAAGCAAAGAAGACATATCAAAGTATCTGTGGGTCAGGCCTTGCTGAGGCCTCACACACACTCAGCCTGACAGTTCGTAGCTGCCAGAACTTTCCCCTGGTCCACCTTCCACCAGTAGCCCCCAGGATTAAGAGTTGTGAGAGGCCAGGAGAGAGCACGGCAGGTGAGGTAGAGACAGCTGGTTGATCACCTGGTTCTTCTCTTCTTTCCTGCCAGTTGAACTTCATATTATTGTGGACAGCAATGTACTTGATAAAACATACTTTCCAGCTTCTCTTGCAGACAGGAGTGGTTAATGAGATATAAGCCTAAGTCTTTAGTTTGGGCTTCCAAAGAAGCTCTTTACATGGGGATGAGTCAGCTGACAGGCTCTCCTTCCTTCCTGCTGCCAGGAATATAGACAGGAGGGCTGGGGCTCCAGCAGCCATCTTGTGGCTATAAAGCAATTCTGAGAATGGAAGTTATATGATAAGGAAGTTGAAGCAGGCACACAGGAAAAGCCTACGTCCCCGATGACCCTGGAACCAAGTTTTCTGCCCTCTATTTCCTTCCTTGGATTTCTTTCATGTGAGCAAAGTGTAAATCCCTGTCTTATTTGAGCCTGCTATTTGGGCTTTTTGTTATGTGTGGCTGAACCTAATCCTAAGTGATACTGCTGGCTACTTAAACTGTGTCCCATCACCATGACTAGAAAAACAAACCTCTAAACTCAAGTGGAATAATTATATCATCTTTGTAGAGAAAGTACAGCACATTTAAAAGAATCTTATCACCATCTCTACTTTTTTGGCTTCCATCAAATGCTCTGAACATTCTGTGCTTCCACAGAATGGGGAACTATAAGGTTTATAGTAAATTAAAAAAACAAAGACAAAACTAACCCTAGGTTGCCATAAATGAAACTAGCTCTTTGATTCAACCACAACTTTCATTGCCTAAATTGTATAGTGAGGTCCTACTCAGGGAAGAGAATCCTTTTGGTACAAAGGCCCTCATGGGGCTGGGCAGGTAGCCCACCATCCTATGGTGCCCGTGAGGAAGGTC